AACTGATTTGTGTCATATAGAAAAAAACAGATATGTGTCACATAAAAAAACAGATGTGTGTCATATTTCCTCTGTGAGAGGAATTAAACCCCATTTCTGTCTGATATAGAGATATTCTGGTGGAACAGATTATAGGTTACAGGTTATAAACTCTAGATGTGGTTAAAGTAATTTCACATTGTTGGTTGTTTAGCTTTAACAAACCATTGTAACCTTATTGTGATCTAACCTGAATCTGTGAAGAGTCTCTGGTATTTATTTCTCCAGACCACATCCTGAGTGTTTATTTAATCTCATTTTCCCATTTAAGCATCATTGGCTTCTGGGAAGAGAACCCCCCCCCCCTCTAAATCACATCATCCAGCCACGAGAGGTTAAAGCACTTTTCCTCTTTTCCACATCGCTCCTCACCGACCAGAAATCCCAACTCTGAGCCATTCACAGCTCACTGGTAAAACGGTTTAATAAGCTCTTCTCCCTGTTGCGGCTTTTCTGATCAAATCAGGCCGTAAATCAATAATATGCATGAAAAAATGCTAAAAATATATAGATTTATCGGGGTAACATTTGAGGCAAAGCCCACATTTACACAAGGGTTAGCCTGATAAATATATATATATTTAATAAAAAAAAATATATAAAATAAAAAAAAAAATATATATATATATATAATATATATAAGGGGTTAGCTGGCATTTTCCTCAAATGTTAGCCTGATAAATATATATATTTAATGAAATATATATATATATATATTTTTTTTAATAAATATTTATTTATATATATATATATATATATATATATATACACATTATATATATCTGCATATTTATTTATTTTAATTAAACATATATATTTATCAGGTTAACCTTTGTGTAAATGTGGCGTTACACAGGTTTAACCCTTCATTGGGAAGGGTTAAAGTTCAAATCTGTTCATTTTAGTCTGAGTATAGTTTTGGACGTGCACCTGCCTAAACTAGCTCTAAAATCAAGTTTTTAGATTTCACCTTTTTAACTCAAAGTGTCAGCCCAACTATCTGTGAAAAAAAAAGGTTCTGGTTGTTATTACTCCTCAAAAATGCAAATAAATTGTTGATAAAACTGTGGATTTTAAAAAGTTAAAAAGCTGCAAACTTTGAGGGAATGTTTTGGGCCTAATTTCATTTTTAGAGCAGATTTTTTCCAGCATAAATCCAACTATAGATTTTTTTCCAGCCCTGCATGTTATTGATTCTGGTTAAAAAAAAAGCGGTGCTCCACAGGAAATGAGCCGTTCTGCTCTCATATATGCAGCCGTTTTTTAAATCCACATCATTTCACGCCAGTAAAGGAGGAACATCCATGAAACTCTGCCAGGAGTTCCCCCCCCCACCATCAATCCGCTGCTTCTCACTAAATATTTTACTCCTTTTGGAATTAACAACCTCATAGCTGGGCTCCGATTTAGAAATTTACAACACATTTCTTCTGTATTTATTTATTTATTTATTCATCTATTTATTCATTTATTTATTTTTATTTTTATTTTTATTTTTATTTTTATTTTTATTTTTATTTATGTATTTATTTACTTTATTTATTTTTTCCAAAATATATTTATTACATTTTTAGCAGCTTAAATGAACATGTTGAACAATATACAAAATATGCCAACAGCAGTAGTACTGTTACTTGTTCACGTCAAAATAAAATACAAACAAAACAAAAAACACAAATATCGTCTCTCAGTATTAACTCCAGTGCAACTGGTCACAGTTTGTACTTAACCTCTCTATATTGAGAATTAAGTTTAACAGTATATGTCCTTAAGGAAATTGTCTTTAGGAACTACAGTTCCCATAATCTCCAACCTCTCGCACCGTCTTCTGAGATGTTCAAATGTTTGATATATCCAATTAAGGAATTCCAGATAGACTCAAAAAGGTCCTGTTTGCTCTTTAATAAATACGTTATTTTTTCCAGTTTATGGTTTATGGTCAGTCTGTGATTCTTTTTCCAAAACAATGATGTACATCTCTTAGCATTAAGCAAACTTAAGTTTATAAACAGTCGTTCATTTTTTGTATAAGAATGTTTTCCGGGCTACAATCCAAACAAAAACAGCCCTGGATCAAAAATTATTTGTTTGGAAGTTATTTTTTCAATTACACCCTTTATGTTAGTTTGTGTTTGTTTACAGGTTCTCCCTCCGGTTTACAGACATCTACAGGACATCTTTCCACAGATACAGATGGATGGTTTAGTAGTCTTTCTTCTTTTTTCCTCTCTTCCTGTTTTAGGAATATCTTTTTTTTCTCTTTTCCTGTCCACGTATCAGGTTTGGCATTACTTCTGTAACAAAAATAAATATTAAATAAATTATAAAGCCATCTTTTCTTCCAGCTTTTCCTTATTCCACCTTTTCCTAAATCCACCTTTTCCTGATTTCAGCTTTTCCTTATTCCAGCTTTTCCTGATTACCGTCTGCTTCTGATTCTCATTTGTGACGAAACTCATTTCCTTTTGGTAGCTGGAGTCATTTGTTCTGAGTAGGGAAACATTCTGCTCTTTTTTTGTTTGTTTCACCCATTTTTCAAAGGAAAAACACATTCATCTTAACAGAAATGTTGTATTTTTAATGCAACTGTGACCTTTAGCTTTTTTTTTTTTAGATTAATTCATCTTCTATTCAACTTCTGTTAACTTATATAAAAATATCCTTTTACGTACTGTTAGGGAAATCAATTTATGTA